TTCTCCAAGTGTAGACATGGCCTCAGGCTCACTGAGAATAAATTTGGTGCAAAATCATCACTTTCATTATTAGGTATAGGTTGAACCTCTCTGGTGTGGCACCCTCAGAACCACACCAATGCCGAACCAGAGAATTTGCACAAACCACTGGAGATCAATATTGTCTAGCGGCATTACCAACACTTTCACTGCTTACTGGGCTCTTAGACAACTTTTAGGGGTAAATTAGAGCTTAATAACAGCACAGAACACTGAGGGCCAGGACTGTTGGCTGTAAATAAACTTTATGGGACTGCAGGAAACTTGGCCATGCTCATGCTAAGTGGACATCCGGTTAACTAAAATCATGCTGGACCACGGATGTTACCACACCAGAGAATACCAGACTAGAGAGGTTCAACCTGTATAATCATTTGTGTGCTGCTCCTTAACTCAAAGAACCATGTTTAGAGTATTTCAGTAATTTGCAGTCCTTCATCTCGCTGGCTGTTTATGTTGTTTCTTTAGTGACAATATTTTACTAACTACTGGCTATTTTATCCAAGATCATTCTGTTGCCTCTGTCACATTGAGTCTTTAAAAGATTTATTTGAATGCTGCTAAAGAAACTTCCCTGAAAAATCACTCGGATTCTTAAACACTCAGCCACGCTTGAGCCCCTTTTGTGTTTGATTCTGTGAATGTTTGACCAATTTAATTTTAGTCTTGTGAAAGTTCCCATAATGGCAAATTTAAGGTTGCAATCTCAAATACTTGTGAATAGCAATTTTAAACTCACATAAAGCAATATTTGCCACACCGTGATATATTTTATATCTAATGGGATTACTGCTTCATGTAGCAGAGGGACAGAATTCCCCAAACCCTTCACCAGACTTTGGCACAGAGGCTATTAAACAAGCCAAACCATGATCTAACCACTTTCATAGCAGCCAAGTCCTACATGCAACAAGACTGCACATACACATCTAGGCTACGTCTACATTGGCATCCCTTTCCGGAAAAGGGATACTAATGAGACGAGTCGGAATTGCAACCCATGGGGGATTTAAATATCCCCCTGCTGTATTTGCATTTACATGGCTGCCGCTTTTTTCCGGCTTGGGGATAAACTTGAAGTAAGAATAAGAAATCCTCCAGAAAAGGGCTTATTTTCCAGAGAATCGCATCTAGACTGGTGCTTTTCTCCAGCTTATCCCCAAGCCGGAAAAAAGCAGCAGCCATGTAAATGTAAATGCAAATGCCGCGGGGGACATTTAAATCCCCCGCGGATTTGCAATTCCGACTTGTCTCATTAGCATACCTTTTCCGGAAAGGGATGCCAATGTAGATGTAGCCCTACAGTTACTTTAGAGAAAATAAATAGAGTAGCCTAATGGTTCTAGGAATGATACTTTGGGCAACATCTTTGTGGCTCAGCAAGGAGAAATTTTATTTTTTTCTAAAATGCCATAATCTGCCTTATCCATTACTTGTCCCCAAATTATTACCTCTCCAAGATCGATTCAAAGCTCCAACAAAATTCCAGGATAACCAACCAGTTGCCCACATATTCAACTAAGGCATTTCAGGCAATCCAAAGGGGCTTGCTTAATGAATAACCAATGGTATGGCATTAAGGTACATGTAACCCACAGCCTCACTATGTAAACTCTGGATGTCGTCATGTGACACATGACAGAATCATTAGTGGGTCAGATATCCTGGGAAATCTTTTGATTTTTCTTGCACTATCTGCATGACTTACATTTCAAGCTGGAAAAGGATTGATAGAATGGTGCTACAAGGTTCACTGAAAGAATGAATTATAAATAATATATTTCAGTTACTAGAAATGTAATATCAAACCCAAGGTTTCCCCAGTTTACAGATCCTAAACCAGCAGCCAAAGAGAAAAATAACAATGAACGATACACTCTGGCACAGTATAATTTAGGTCATAAAAATATGAGGCATAATACAGGATGAAAGCAATCTGAAATAAATAAGTATAGGTGCTTCAGTCTTCAAACAGTGAAGCAAAAGATAAAACATATACAATGTACAGACGAATGACTAGAAAAAAAAGGCAAATTACTGTCAAAAGCATATATGGATATTTTGTTTCTTTAAATTTGTCGCAAAAAGTCAGAGAAGAGAGGTTTGGGATAGATCTACATTTTAATAACAGAGACACAAAAATAGCTTTAATAGACAACATTGGTTTCCCTTTTTCTGTGTTCATTATTAAAAGAAAGTGACTCTGTGATTCTTTACCATTGCCACACCATGACAGCCACTGAAATTAAAGAAGGGTGAATGGGGTTCTAGTTTGAAATGCTAGGATCTTTATTGTAAATCAATAGGATGTGAAATTGGATGCACCTCTTCCTGAGGAATGGACATTAAGAAAAGAAAGCCTTTGCAGTGACCAGCCGAAAGTAATCAGAATGACAAAAAATAATAATAATAATCCAGGACTGCAGATCTCCAGCTGATCTTATTCTTAATGGAGAACGCTGAAGGGAAGAGATAACTTGGGCAAAGTCCTCCCACAGACAAAGATGACTAAATGTAGGTTGTATCCATGCATTCTAAAAACTATAATCCGTAGTGAATCATCCTGTGATACTCTGTCATGAACAAAACTATACAAAGGCTATTTGATTGTTTGACCAAAAAAAGGAGAGCTTGTTACAAGGTATTGCAAAAGTTTTGGACAGTCTTCAGTTTTCAAATTAAGGCTCCTAAACATGTGGCTAGTGAATATAGTTTTAAAAAAATCCAGCAAGCAATAAATATTAAAATGCACAGAGAAAATGAAATGTTATTTGTGAACAATTAAACAAAATGTAAAAGAAGCTGGAAGAAAAAGGATAATAGAGAAAGAGAAAATAGAACCACTGAGGCTATGTTTAGAATACGGGATTTTTCCCGGATACCTCCGGGTATCCCATAAGAACATATGAATGGCCGTACTGGGTCAGACCAAAGGTCCATCTACCCCAGTAGCCTGTCTGCCAACAGTGGCCAGCCGCCAGTGACCAAGAGAGGGTGGACCGAAGACAATGATCAAGCGATTTGTCTCGTGCCATCCTTCTCCAGCCTCTGACAAAGAGAGGCCAGGAACACCATTTCTGTCCCCTGGCAAATAGCCTTTTATGGACCTAACCTCCATGAAATTATCTAGCTTCTCTTTAAACTCTGTTATAGTCCTAGCCTTCACAGCCTCCTCTGGCAAGGAGTTCCACAGGTTGACAACACACTGTGTGAAGAAGAACTTTCTTTTATAAGTTTTAAACCTGCTACCCATTAATTTTATTTGGTGTCCTCTAGTTCTTTTATTATGGGAACTAATAAATAACTTGTGAATGTTGAATTGAATGTTGGCAAAGCATGCAAGTGCTTGTATACAAATGCAAGGAACCTAAACTCTGAGATTGATGAACTAGCGTGCCTGTCAATAGATGAGGCTGTGGAAAGCAGCTTTCAATAAGCTTGCGTAAATATACATAGGTGCTTGTAAGAGTTGGAGAAGGTCATGGGAAATGACCTGTTGCAGAGGCGTAATGCCTAGACTCCATGAACTACTGCTACTTAGAGCAGCTAGTCCTGGAACCCAGAAGCAGAGAGGCAGTTCTTAATTTAATCCTACCATGAGTA